GGTTCAACATATATAAATCATGAATGAAGGATCCTTCATAGAAGGAAGGATAAATATTACATGATCATTTTAATAGATGCAGAAAAAGCATTTGACAAAATTCAACATTTTTTCATGATTAAAAATGCTCAATAAATTAGGTATAAAAGGAACATATCTTAACTTATTAAAGGTCATATATGACAAGCCCACAGTTAACATCATTCTCGATGGTGAAAAGCTTTTAGCTATCCTCTAAGATCAGGAATAAGACAAGGGTGCCCACTCTCACCACTTCCATTCAACATAGTACTAGAATTTTTAGCTAGAGCAATTAGCAATAAAAAGAAATAAAAGACAAAAAAACCTCAAATAAAAGATATTTAAATCAAAAGGAAGAAGTAGCATTCTCTCTCTTTGCAGATGACATGTATTATATAGAGAAAACTCTAAAGACTCCACTAAAAAATTGTTAGAATAAATGAATTAAGTAATGTTGTAGAATGCAAAATCAACATACAAAACAGTTGCACTGAACATTAAAAATGAACCATCTGAAAGAGAAATACAGAAAAAATCCTGTTTATAGTAGTATCAAAAGAAATAAAATACTTAGGAGTAAATTTAAACAAGGACATAAAAGATCTATACACTGAAAACTATTAAGACATTGATGAAAGAAATTGAAGAAGACATAAATAAATGGAAAGATAGTTCATGTACATGGACTATAAGAGTTAACATAGTTAATAAATCCATCCTGCGCTAAGCCTTCTATAGATTCAATGCAGTCACTATCAAAATTCCAATGGCATTTTTCACAGAAATAGAAAAAACAATCCTAAAATTCAAACAGAACAACAAAAGATCCCAAACATCCAAGGCAATGGAGAACAAAGCAGGAAGCCTCATACTTCCTGATTTTTAACTGTATTCTAAAGCTATAGTAATCAAAATGGTATGTTGTTGGCATAAAAACAGACACATAGATCAGTGGAACAGAATAAAGTGTCCAGAAATAAACCCACACATATATGATCAATTAATTTATGGCAAAGGAACAAAAAATATACAATGGAGAAAGGACACTCTCTTCAATAAATGCTGTTGAAAAAGATAACCACATGAAAAAGAATAAAATTGGACTTATATCCTATATCATCCACAAAAATCACCTCAAAATGGATTGAAGACTTGAATGTAAGACCTGAAACTGTACTGTTAATAAAAGAAATCATTAAGGTAAGCTCCTAGGACTTGGCAATGATTTTTGGCTTTGACACCAAAACCAAAGGCAACAAAAGCAAAAATAAGCAAATGTGGCTGTCAAGATTTTGCACGACAAAGGAAACAATCAACAAAATGGGAAGGCAATTTTGGAATGGGAGAAAACACTTGCAAACCATATATCTGATAGGGGGTTAATATTTATATATTTAAAATATATAAGAAATGTACACAAGTCAATAGCAAAAGAACAAATAGCCTGATTAAAAAATGGGTAAATCATCTGAATGGATGTTTCTCCAAAGAAGACTACAAATAGTACAAGTACTGAAAAGGTGCTCAATATCACTAATCATCAGGGAAATGCAAATCAAAACCACAGTAAGATACTATATCACACCTAATAGAATGGCTATTATCAAAATGATAAGAGATAACAAGTGTTGGCAAAGATATGGAGAAAAGGGAATCCTTCGTGCCCGGTTGGTGGGAATGTAAACTGCTTCGGCCACTGTGGAAAACAGTATGGCATTCTCAAAAAATTAAAAATTGAAGTACCCTGTGATCTAGTAATCCCACTTCTGGGTATATATCCAAAGGAAATGAAATCAGGATATTGAAGAGATAGCTGCACTGCCATCTTCATCACCGCATTATTCACAATAGCCAAGATACAGAAGCCAACTGTTGTCCATTGACAAATGACTGGATAAAGAAAATGTAGTATAAATATAAAATGGAGTATTACGCAGCTCTGAGAAAGATTGAAATCCTGCCTTTGCAGCAAGATAGATATACCTTGAAGGCATTATGTTAAGTGAAATAAGTCAGACAAAGAAAAATAAATACTCCATGATCTCACTAATGTGTGGAATCTAAAAAGTCAAACTTAGAAAAACAGAGTAGAATGATATTACCAGAGACTAGGAGGGTGGGCAAAATGAAATGTTATGAAAAGGTACAGACTTTCAGTTAGATTAATACATTCTGGTGATATCATGTGCATCATGGGGACTATAGTTAATAGCACTGTGTTGTATATTTAAATTTTCTAAGAGAATAGATCTTAAGTGTTCTCACCACAAAAGAAAACTATGCGAGGTGTTGGATATGTTAAATGGCTTGATTATGGTAATCAACTGACAGTGTATACACATATCAAGTCATCACGTTGTGTACCTTAAATAAATACAATTTTTGTCAATTATATCTAAATAAAGCTGGAAAACACACAACAAAAATGTTGATACAACCTGACATCTACATGCAAAAATTGAATCTTGATCCAAGCCTCACTTCTTATATAAAAATTAATTCAAAATAGATCATGGATGTAAAAGTAAAATGTAAGACTGTAAAAGTTTTAGAGAAAAATATAGAAGAAACTCTTCATGACCTGAGATTAGGAAAGAGTTCTCAGATATGACATCAAAAGCACAAAACATAAGTTACAAAATGACAAATCGGACTTCATCAAAATTAAAACTGTTAATTTGTAGAAGACATTGTGAAGAGAATGAAGAGGTGAGCTATAGACTGGAAGAATATTTAGAAACCACATATCTCACAAAGGACTTATATTTAGAATACATAAGAACTCTCAAAACTCAGCAGTAAGAAAACAAATAACCCCATCAAAAAGTAATCAAAGGACTTGAACAAATGTTTAACTGAAGAGACTATGTGGGTGACAAATAAGCACATAAAAAGATGTTCATCGTCATTAGTCATCAGGAATAGGCAAATTAAAACCACAAGATACCATTATACAATCTTTAGAATGGCTAAATTAAAAATATCAAATGATGCTGTGGATGCAGAGCAACTGGAAATTCCATCCATTGCTGGTAAGAATGCAAAATCTGGACATTCTGGGAAACTATTTAGCCAGGTTAAAAAAAACAAACATGTATTTATCAGATGACTCAACCATGCCACTCCTACTTATCTTACAATAGTTTATGTTCACACAAAAACTTGCACATCAGTGTTTATATCTTCTTATAATCTCCAAAATAAAACAGGAGCAAGCTAACCTGATGACTAGATAACCAAGATGCAGTAGGACTATGCAATGGAAAACTACTTAGCAATAAAAGGCAATGAACTATTGACATGGAACAACTTGACATTTCTCTGAGGGAAAGAAGCCAGTCTTAGAGTGTACCGTATGATTCCATTAATACGGCATTCTCAAAAAGGCAAAGTTATAGTGATGGAAAAGAGCTCCAATGTTGCTGGGGGTTAAAAGTTGGGGAGAGTGAGACTACAGAATGAAAGCACACGGGAGTTTTCTGGGATGATGGAAAAGTTGTGTCTTGATTGTGGTCATGGTTGGACAAAGCTATACATGTGTTAAATTTATGGAAATGTACACAAAACAAGTCAATGTAATGTATGTTAATTAATAAAATTTGAAATAATGTAAAAATTAATACTTGTGTCTCTCTGTTACTGTAGATTTAAGTTTCATGTTACTTAAATACATTATAACCTAAAATTAGATGTGTACTTTTTTAGACTTATAGCTCCCGTGCAACTAAAAAACCATAATATATTGACAAAATGAATGTAAATTGCACAACTAAGTTCAAAGTACCACTAATTTAATATGACAAAGTTTTGGTGAAACTTATTCTTCTCTCCTAATTAGCATATGGTCCTGACCATTCAAGAACAGGTTCTTTTGAGTTTGGCATGTTTATATTATTTAGTGACTCAGTTATTTCACATTTCTATTCTAAATAGTGAAGCCTTTGTTTATGTGGTGAATTGTGAAGTCATTTGACTTCCACTTGGTAAATTGCATCATTGATTTGTTTCATATTGGCCTAAGGCAATTAAAGTAGCATTGCTTCACATCGATATGATTGTCAGCACAAATGTAAATGTGGATAGGGAAATCCCAAGGCGGAAGCTCACCGTGGTAAGATGAACTTTCAGATGATTCAGAATACATGCATGCATGTGTCTGTGCATGTGAGTGTGTATGTCTGAATATAAAAGTTGCTGAGCAAATTGAAAACATGAAATTAACCTTTTTGTCTAGAACTCATGATCACTAATAGTATTTTGATATTCAGATATTTGGAGAAAAACCCAGTTGAAGTGTATGGGGGTTGGATACTGGAGGGTGAGAGGTCACCCTCTATATTTTTAAGTTTGAAAGCAATAATTCTTTATTTAACATTTAGAAGTACCCAATGTAGGCACTATTTGTAGTAGAGATGTTTTACTCTGGAGTGTTCCCATGATGTCTTTGCAATCAACTTCTCTCTGCTCTTCTTTACCCTATGTTCTCTATGCCTCCATGCCATCCTGGTTCTTGTGCTTCTAAGCTGAGATTACTCCCTAGTCAGGCCTTTGTACAGAAAATATTTTTATTTTCTTCATCTCTTTTTAAATTTTATTCCACAAAGATTTCTCTTTTCTGGAGTTTCTATATTTGGAATCATAGGTTTGTCTTTTGTGTCTGCTTCTTTTGCTTCACATAATGTTTTTGCGATTCATTATTTTTTGCATGTTTAAGTAATTTATCACTTTCTATTGCTGAGTAGTATTCCACTTAATGATTATACCGTAATTTGTTTACTTCTTCACCTTTGGGTTGTTTCCAGTTTTTGACCATTACGCATAAAGCTGCTTTGAACATTTCTGTACATTCATTTGTGGAGACATGTTTTCGTGTTTTTTTTTTAAATATATATATTTTTAAATTTAATTCTGGTAGAATTGACATACAGTATTAGTTTCAGGTGTACAATATAGTGATTCAAATGTTTCCATTTTTCTAGAGTGAATATCCAGGAGTACATTTCTGTGTTGCATGGTAAGTTTATGTTTAATTTTACAAGATGTAGCCACATTGATTTTCAAAGTGGAATACTATTTCACATTCCTGCCAGTGATGTTTGAGAGTTCCAGTTGCTCCATATCCTTGCCAAAACTAGATATTGGCAGTCTTATTATTTTAGCCATCCCAGTATGTGTGTGTGTATTGGTATTTCATTTTGGCCTTCATTTCTATTTCCCTTATGATCAATGATTTGTAAATTGTGTGCTCAATTCTGACATTTTTTAAAATGGGCAGTTTGTCTTCTGATTTTTGAATTTTAAGAGATCTGTGTATTCTGGAAACAAGTCCTTTGTCAGATATATGTATCATGTATGATTTCTCCAAATCCATGATTTGCCATTTTCTTAATACAATATTTTGAAGAACGTAACTTTTCTTTTTCATAGAGTTCAGTTTATGAATCTTTTCTTTTATGGTTTACACTTTTTATGGCCCAGGTAAATTTTTTTTTTTTTTTTTTTTTTCCCCCTACCACAACCACAAGTTTAAGAGTTTCAGCTTTTGAGTAATGCTGGTTAGGTATATTCTAGGATGCCCCTCTATTGGAATCTGCTAGTTTTTCATGATTAAGACAAAGTTATGGGTTTCTGGGAAAGAGATCACTGAGGTAAAGTATACTTTCATCCACATTGTATCAAGAGTACATACATACTCTCAAGATTTGTCACTATTGATGTTGACCTTGATCATTTCTTTTTTCCTTCTTTCTACTTTGTACTTTTTGGAAGAAAGTCACTGTGCATAGCCCATAGTTAAGGAGAGAGGAGTTGTGATCCTCCTCCTTTAAGATGGAGTATTTACATTATTCATTTGGGATTTTTCTGCATAGGAGATTTGTCTCTTCTCCATCATTTATTTATTAAATCATTTATAATCAATATGGACTCATGAATATTTATTTTGTATGTTGGGTTATAATTCAATATTTATTTATTCTGATGTTTAAATTGTTCAAGCTTTGGCTGTTGGGAACTCTTTCAGTTAGCTTCTGGGCCCCGTTGATGTAATTTCATCTGTGTGTGTGTATGTTTAAACACTTCCTTACCTACTGTATGGCATTACAAGAAGCTACAAGCTCATCTTGTATAACTTCTGCACCAGTCCTAAAATCAGCCAATTCTCCAAGGAGCCCTGGTCCTGTTTAATGGAGAGTGGTATTAGAAACCAAGATCTGGGTGTTAGATGCGTTTATTTCTACTAGAGTTTTATTTCTTTTAGGCCCTCTCAGATGACAGAACATAGAACTATTCATGTATATAGTAACCAGTGTATCTATGCATATCTACACATATTATTAATATGGATCCTAAATGCACAAGCGATGTTTCTGGAGCAGAGAAGATTGGTTATTTACTCTACAGCAAGTAACAACCATGTGGTTCCCCTGTGTTCCAGTCATTATCCCCAGAGCAACACAGAGAGAGCTGGATGGACAAAGCAAGCAGCACATGAGTCTGTTTTGTAGGTGAGGAATCCCCCCAAAATGAATCTGGGTGCTTATACACATGCTGTCTCCCTTTCTTCCTTAAAGGTGGTAGAAAAACCTTTGTTCTTCCAGTAGGATTATGGGTTCTTACTCTAACCTTTTGGATTGTAAATAAAACTCTCTAAGCAAAAGATAACTATTGTTTCCATCTTTACAACCAAGGATGTCTCCCTGGTCCCAGGTCTCAGCCTCTCTTGAAATGTAAACACCTCTGAAAGGTAAATCTCTCTGGAGTTTTCTCTAGCTAATCAGTCACAAATTACCTTCATGCTTGCTCTTAGCCACGTTCCAAGTTCAATAATAATTGTTCAGATATCTCTAATTCTGCAGAAAAAATCAAAATATTTTCTCTATACCCCCACATGCAGATGAGGAGAATGAAGTTTAGCCAGGTTAAAAGCCTGCAAAAGTTATAAGGGCTGTGGTTGGGACGTAAACTGAAATACATCGGAGCCCAAAGCCCGTGTTTCTTCTGTCAAGTGCTTAGTTTCAGAAAACACTTTCTTGTCACTTAGCTGGTCCTAGACATTTCAAGAACATAACAACGTAGTCTTTTGACCTTGCTTTGTTCATAGTCCTTTCTTGGTCTGACCACCTCATCTTTCTTCATTAGTTAGTTAGTTCTGCAGAGTTTTGTTTTCTGTTTAATTCCAATATTATTCAGTAGTGACTTTGCATTTTTAGTATTTTGGTGCACCACTTGAAGTATTTTTACAATACACTTTACTTGCTAGAACTTGACAAGGTATGAAATGTCTTCTTGAGGTCCTAGATGTTTTAGGGAAGATTAGGTAATCGTGGAATGATGCTCTGATAGGCAAAACCATCACTGCTGTCTCTGGAAGTGGATTTCCAGGTTTAATGTGAATACATAGCTCCTTTTCAGTTTTAAACGTACCAGCAGTTTTCCACACATCTTTCTTCCTTGATACTCCAATGCAGTTCATGCTTATTCTAGTATCATATTTTGTTATTCCTATTTCCCTGAAGGTTTGTACTAATGCAACGGTAATGCTCAAGGTCAGGGTGTGAGCTGTAAATAGTTATTCAGAAGAGTGTAAAAACCCCAATGGTATATTCAGATAATGAGGTACAAGGCAAACTCTATAGTAGACATTTTTACTAGTGCATTCTCTTCAATCCTGCTGCCATATAGAGGACTCAAGGAAACTCTGCAATGTCATGAAGTTTTTGACATTGCTTTAGAGGGTTTTGTGCATTTTAGTTATGACTTGTATTCTGCACCACTATTTAATTCCTGACAATTGCGTGGGCCTGACAATTCCTGATTTAGCTATTCTCTATTTTCCTGTGCTTTTAAGAATGGGGCAATAATGCAGACTTTTTTTATATAGCATATAAAAAGGCTCTGGACAGTTCTCATAAATGTTCACCTGAAAGCTTAATTTCCTGTGGTTGTAGCATTAGAATAAAAGCCCCAGAGAGAATAGCTTACTAGTCCTGGTTTGGCTAGTTCGTGGAGTATGCTTTGTCACAGGACAGGAGTATACAGACCTGTAACTGGGGGAGTTCCCTTTCCTATGGGTGAGAATAACTAACAGGCTATGGTGGAACAGGAAGTCTTTTCAAACAGTGTCCCCAGGCTCCCTGAGGTGACGCAGCCCTCTGCTTAGCGGCAGTGGCCATGGTGCCTGTAGTTAACACAGTTTCACTCTTTGGAACTCAGGCATTTAGAGAGCTGCATGAAACCTTTAATCCAAGCAATCTGCAGTTATCACTGAGCACTGCATGATGGTGTGGCTGACTCTGCTGCTGTTTCCAGTAGCTGCCGTGCTGATCGGCATCTGCCTGCCATACATTCAGTAGAGTAAGCCCAACACTATTTTGATGGTAAGTGACTTTTGGTCATTCACTTATTTTTCTGTCTTTTGTCTGCTAAAAGTTTGACTACACTTCATTGTCAACTAATTGAATGCTGATGACCTAAGACAACTGTTAATTTCAGATACATTCCTATCAATTTCCCCACTGCCACTTTATTTGAAAATCTCACAGTTTTTTGAAGGCACATGAATCATATGAATCAGTTTTTCAATTTAAGATCATACATAGAAGTAAAGTAAATGGTTCTTTTGAAAGAAAGTAAAAAATAATACAACATTAAATGTATCCTTTGCATGAAAGAGGGGTTCCTAGACAAAGCTCCATCTCTTCTTTCTACAAGTTAAACACATGACAGAAAGGAAGACTATTTAGGAGTTTAAAGAAATGGCTTCCAGGGCACCTGGGTGGCTCAGATTGTTAAGCGTCTGCCTTCGGCTCAGGTCATGATTCCAGGGTCCTGGGATCGGGCCCTGCATCAGGCTCTCTGCTCAGTGGGGAGTCTGTTTCTCCCTCTCCCTCTGCCATTCCCTCCACTTGTGCTCTCTGGCTCTATCTCTCTGTCATATAAATAAATCAAATCTTTAAAAAAAATAGAGAAATGGCTTCCTTTGTTCACAATTAATAATAACTCAATTTAAATTCATCCTAACAGCTTAGAAGGACTCTCCAAATATATCCTTTTAGTTAAGGAAAGGATAAAACCTTCTTCATTGTTCATTCATTCATCAATCAATAAGTTCTAAATGGAAATGTATTGGGTAGGAATTCTGCTAGTTTCAGCCTGTGAAGAAGATGAAGACATGGATTCATTTAAGCATACTTCATTGTTCATGGAATAAATGCATGGATGAATCAATGAATGACTCTTTCCTCTTGTTCTTTCTGGTAATTGGTGTTTTGAATATTGGGAGAGGAGAAATGTTGGCTATTCCTTTAGGATAGGCAGATCAGAGCTTCTTCATAGGGTGGTAACAACTTCTACATTATATCTCCATCTGAGTTTATCCACAGAATTAGAAATGATGATGATGATGATGATAATTCCACTCCCACCACCACCAACAATAATAAATGGTAGAAACAGTTTTGCAAGACAGAGACCTATACAAGGAAACACATTTTTTCAGAGCTTCAGACTCCTACATTTAGAAAGTTGAAATTGTTAATTGCCTATCTCCTGCAAATTTCAAATTCTTACTTAGGATATATCCAAAGAGCAAAGCATTTTTCTTAATGTCTTTATGATTTCTATATTCTGATTTTGTTCTAGAGTAATTAGAAGAAGGAAATAGTGTTTTCAGTTGCCCAAGGGGTTTACACTTCTATCAGGCACGTCGACTATGTGCAATCCAATTCTCAAATATTTTTTAAGAATCTCTTACGGGCAATGTGCTCTGCTGTATTGTCTGGAGATACAAAAATGAACAAGACAGGAAGCATAGTCAAATAGAGGAAATAAGATGTATCCAGATACCCGTAATACAAGACAGTGTGATAAAGGCTTTGAGAGAGGGATGAAACAAGACCTGCTGTCACCCAGAGGAGAGGAGATATATTCCTGGGCTTATCAGAGAGGGATTTATGAAAGAAGAAATATTGACCTTAAATGGAGACTCTTCAGGGTTTATTCAGTTAGAAATGA